GGAAGGCCGACGGACACGGCGCCCCGGACGCGAATCGTAGACTGTTGACATCGAGCACGATACGACGACCAGCCGGTGCCTTAAATTGGATCAGATCAGGCTTGGATTAGGGTGAATTTATAGCGACGGGTGGCATGTGTACAAGTGGCGCAGTGGGAAAATTGCAGCGCAATGTTTGGAAGGTCGGCAAGGTGGGTGTGGGTTCGATTCCTATAGGGTGTATCTTCTGTGATTGGTGGAAGTTTTTTGATTTTGATCAGTTTTTTGATCAGTTTTGATCAGTTTTTTGATCATTTTGATTTGAATGTCACGGAATACTGAGGAGCCAAATCAGCAGGGCAAGATAGCATTTTAGTAGTGGTTGATGGTTACGGTAGAGATAGCGTAATATTGTTATGGTGTGAGACATACCGTAATCATGTAGTTGCATTCACCAGCCCCGGATTGCGAGAGGGTTTGCAGTGTGCCGGTGGATGCGCGAATGAGCTGACCGCATTTGGTGCGGGTGGATCTCATCTGATTGCACGTTCTGCCAGCCACACCATCGGTACATCGGCATTTTGAGCAGTCTTTCGGGTCTGGATAGCCACCGTTCTGACAGTTCAGACTGGAGCGAGCACAAACACCTCAAGCAGAGCTCATTTCAGGTCAGGAAATTTTAATTTCAGGTCGAATGTTTTTGATATTAGGTGAAATATTTTTGATATTAGGTGAGATATTCTTGATATTAGGTGAGATATTCTTGATATTAGGTAGAATATTTTTGATATTAGGCCGGATAATTTTGATTTCAGGTCATATATTTTCGATTTCAGGTGAAATACTTTACGAACTGACCACCGCAATATGCCTTATTCATCATTTTAACGTTGGCAAAGGATAGACCGAAACGTTGACCGATGGTGCTTTGATAGTTGCGGTCGATTGTTTCGATGGTGTTGCGACCGTTCGTGGAGAAGCCCTTAATTAGTTAATTAGCTAAGTTAATTAAGTTAATTGGTTTTGATTTTATTTATTGTTGATGAAATTTATTGAGATTACGATTTGAGTTGTTGACGAATTGATGTGACATGTTTTGATAGAAGTGACAAATGGAAAGTTTAGTGATATGTTGTGATTTGAATAAAGTCACAAACGTTTAAACTATTCATCAAATAGCAAAAGCACCTAGAACAGCAAATAAGACCGACCTTCGAGCCGTAATGCATCACCGAACCGTAGTCGTATCTGATGCCGAAGGTTTGCATTCTCTGCGCCGATTGCTTCGAGAATTGACCCGCCAAGCCGTTCTGGATATTCTGCGTCATCACGCGGATAAATGAGTCGCGATCGAAACGTGCTTGCTCGTGATAGAAACCGAGTGCGTGACCTGAAATTTTGAGATTTAGAGACCTGAAATTGGAGAAATTTAGAGACCTGAAATCGAGGAGGCCTGGAAGTGGACTGGACGGCCACCCAGACAGGATCGGAACGATGGCTTTTGGATTTTGGATCGCGTTTCGGACCAAGGAGGGTTGGTTCCTGACCGAACCGGAAAATGGATAATCCGGAAGATCGGGCGGAAAATGCGGCAGACGACCTACCGATTTCGTGTGCGACCGTGCCGACCGACTCACAACCACGACCAAT